AATTAAAAATTAAACAAATAAAATTTAAAAAAATCCCCATTATTAAAAAAAAAAAACTCGAGGTATTTTCGATTGAAGGAGATGTGGATCGAGGTCGCCTAGGCTCAGACTCAGAGGTTAAATTAATAAGAGAGAAAACGGCCACGAAAGTTTAAATTGTATTAATATTGTAGTTTCCAAGTGCAATCAAGCTATGGAAGTTCCAAACTTTAGCGGCCATTTTCTCGCTTATTGTGGATATTGGGGAGCCTGCATAACGTTTGGTGGGTAAAAATCGACAAGTAAAAGTCCAGTTAAGATACCCCCTCTGAGAAGTTACAATTGTCTTTGGCGTATGACGTCATAGCATGCCATGTGTTGACCACACTTACATAGGGGATTATAATTGAATAATTGATTTATTCATTCATTGTTAGATGGATGGATTGATAGGTGAATGGATGGGAGGATGGATGGATGGATGGATGGATGGGTGGATCGATGGATGAATTTGTTGGTTGGTTGGTTAGTTAGTTTGTTGGGTGGGTGGGTGGGTGGTTGTTTCGTTAGATGATTGATTGATTGATTGATTGCTTATACAACTAAACTCTCCTCTTTCTAAACATGTATCCCTTTCAGCTCGTTGAGGATGATTCAGTTGTTGAAGAACCGAGATTGAAAACTTTGGATTCCGAAGAACCAGATTCATCAGAAGAAGTGAGTGCTGCCTTGTGTTTATCAAGCTAGACCAGCAGCTGTTTGATAAGTTACACAGCAGTGACATACATTATACTCCAGCCATGCAGACAACACGTTTACACTCCAATAAAATACACGCACGTAAACATGTACAGGCCCATTAATCATCTAGTTATTCCTTTATAAAGACGTGGCTTTGATCGATTTGTGTAGGGGTTAAGATAGCGCGTGTTAAGTCTGCTTTCTATTTTTTAAGGGGTAACAGTTCAAACTTCAAAAAACTAAAAATACTCGACAAATTAACTTGCAGGCCTCAGAGAGGAGATATACCTGCGTCTAACTAACAATACCATTCAGCGAAAAGAGTCTTGGGTCTAAGATGTTGAACCTGCTATTATGATTTTTGACACGCCTTGTACTATCGGATATAACGTTTACTTTCTGACACCCCGAAATCCGTGTAGTATTTTAACTCAGGTTAGCTTATACGTGTAAAACACACTTCGGCTAAGAGGTTCCGAAGGCAGTACGTTATACCGAGGTTTTACGGTATAGAACAGATTGCTATCTTGTGCTAATTCCATATTGTTTTCCCCGACTTCGATAATAATAGCAATTATATGGCGCATATTCACGCTCTACAGCATAAGCATTGTGCTTTACAATCATTTAATATTTTGTCCCAGCAGACCCTAGAACACACAGAAACATTCTTGGCTTCCCTGGGAGCATAATACAGTACAAGTTTTGGATTGCACGGGCTCAAACACTAACCAACTAACATGATCTTTCGCTGTCTATAGCCAGTTTCCTATTCACACCTGGGAAAATTAGTGAGGAACATTTGTTTAAAGTGTCTTTCCCAAGAACACAACGTCAGATCTGTGTCAGGATTTGAACCCATGGCCTTACGGCTCCAAGTCCGAGAGCCAAGTCCGAGAGCCTAATCACTCGGCCACCGAGGAGTTTCTGTTACAGTTGTCAAGGGCGTTTAAAAATCACCCCTGTGACCTTTGTGCCCCGAACTATTACGGTCAGCGCCCTTATTCGGGACCTCCAGTTCCATTCTGAGCTAACGCCCCTTATTTGCGACAGGAATAATTGAAGGCTTTAATTTCACAGCGATTTACACCAAAACTGGGGGAAATTGAGTTAGTAGTGAAAAAAAAAACTAAGCGCGCGATCTACCACACAGAATTCGGTATGCTAATGAGATGCAAACAAGTAATTGCTTTCTCCACAAAAATCTATACAAGAAGGGTTCTAAATCAAGAAAAGCGAGCTATCCAACTGTGTCTGGTAATTTATGAGATCTCTTCACAAGGATTAAGCATCCTTGAGTGGACGGTTTTGACTTTATCTCACACAGCGAGGACTTAACATAACACCGGTGACACAAATTGAAAATTGACAGCTCAGTAAGGAATTCATTTGTTCAAGCTACATAGCATTGCCTGAAGTGTAAGTAACTTGGTGTGGCATTTTGAAGAGCGAGGAGGTGTTGAGAGAGGGAGAGAGAGAGAGAGAGAGATAGATGGATAGATAGATAGATAGACAGATAGACAGATAGATAGCGAAATGGAGAGAGATGAAAGGAGATAGAAAGAGAGATAGATAGATAGAAAGAGAGATAGATAGAGAGAGAGATAGATAGATAGATAGATAGATAGATAGATAGATAGATAGATAGATAGATAGATAGACAGACAGATAGATAGAATTCTTTCAGAAAGGTACAAATATCTTAGACAGCCGCATATGTTCAAAGCAGCTCGGGCGAATGTAACAAGTGGCCTTGGTGTTTGACCAAGAATCCCAACATATGTTAGGTAGGTGGGCGTCATGAGGTGTGGCCGGCCGTCTTGATTGATTAGCTAGTCGATGATCTGACAGTTAAGTCTGTTGACCCGTCCTCGTAGATATTGAACCATCGATCTCTGAAATGACATCACTTTAGTATGGTATGGCATGATATGATGTGGCATGATATGATATGGTATGGTATGGTATGGTAAGTTATGGTACGGTATGGTATAGTTTGGTATGGTATGATAATTATGCTATGGTACTTGTATAATGTGGTATGCTATATCATGCTCTGCTATGCTATCTCCTCTAATTCACTCCCTCCCTCACTCCCTCACTCCCTCCCTCACTCACTCACTCACTTACGTCCTCTCCTCCACTACTCAACATCCAGGTCCTGGCACCGATGGGAGAGGGAGAAGTGGATCTAAATGGCGGAGATATGGATCACCTGGTCAGTCACGCATGGGGGGGGGGGGGAAACGTGTTTTTTTGTTGATTTGTTTTTTTTTATCATTCTATATCGGTATTGTTTAGGGCTTTTATTTCTTTAAAATATGTGACAGGCACTCAAAGTGCAGTTTATGTTCCCCCCCCCTCTCTCTCTCTCTCTCTCTCTCTCTCTCTCTCTCTCTCCCTCTCTCTCTCTCTCTCTCTGAGTCCGTGTGTGTGTATGTGTGTGTGTGTGTGTGTGTGTGTGTGTGTGTGTGTGTGTGTATGTGTGTGTGTGTGTATGTGTGTGTGTATGTGTGTGTGTGTATGTGTGTGTGTGTGTATGTGTGTGTGTGTGTATGTGTGTGTATGTGTGTGTATGTGTGTGTGTGTGTGTGTGTGTGTGTGTTTGTGTACGCTATTCTGTTTCAAAGTAGTAAAATGCTCTTTGAGTTTGAGTAAAGAAAAAGACATGGACACAATACAGACCTTATAGTGCAGTGAAGAAGTAAGACAGACAAAACCAACAGAGAACAAATAGAAGTAGGACCTAAACAATGGATCCCTCCAATCATCCACCCAAGTGCTCTACTATGTAACAGCTATTTTAGAAAAATCATATTTCTTGTTCTTGTTATGTATTTATTTTTTACAGCTAGAAACATTGTACAACAGAGACAAATAGAAACAGACAAATTTGTTGGATTCTGATAGATCTAATAAAACTTTAGGTTTGTTTAATTTCGTATCAGTTTAACTGTTCACTTTTGAGTGATACACGCACAATTTAGGGTGATACAAGAATGAGTTTATTGAAGATGACATTACGTTGTTTTTTGGAGTATACTCTTTGACTCTCTGCTTCTCTTCTTTGGCTTAGAAAACCGGCGCCGTATGTTTACCAAACGCTCGTGATGTATACTGAGATATGGCACAGGGGTACTGCACTGGAACTCAGCAATAGAAGTAGAAGATAGCTTTGCTGAAGCTTTATTGCCCGTTCCGTTTTATGAGGTCGAGCACTTTGTGTTTTCTTGGATAGCAAAAAAAATAATTCTCGTAGGTCTTTTGTGAACGACGCGTGAGTTAAAGATCATTAATTGGTCTCTGAAAATCGCTGTGACATGTAGATGTCTTTACGCCCATATCAACGCACATTCGATTAGTAGAAGAAGTAGGACGTTAGGTACCACTAGGTCCAGAATCGAAATACAGAATTTACCTACCATAAGTGTGAAACTGCCAAACATTTTGAAAGTTGAGCAATCTATTTCCTCAAAGTCTACCGTCAAGGCAAAGCTGTATCATAGATGCCGCTAATATCGTCTGTCATGAAGCAAAAAGTTATGCACTGCCCGATTTGTAATGTGCGTGTATTCATAAGAAAAGAAGAAAACGTTGCATATCTTTATTTTTTCAGAAAGGATCATTGGCCCATTTGTTGGCAGCACAGAGGGTAAGTCAAAACCATAGGGTTCTACTATAATTATTGTTCACTGTTGTGTCTTTTGAACAAAAACCTCACCTGAAGCTACCTTCTTGAAATTGACTTTTTATTGTTAATGTGTTAGACCCCCATCGACACATTTTAGGTTATTTATGAGGCTGGGTACTGCGTCCCAACTAGCAGAGACCTTCAAAGACTTGAGAGGGATACAATTTTCCAGCTGACAGGCGGAGGTACTGTCAAAATAATAATTGCTATGAGAGCCACCCATTATTGAGGAGAAAACGTTGTTTTTGAAAAGTGGACTTCTTTTTCAGAGTCATTTTAACAGAAAAAAAGACAGGAGCAAGTAGGGGGTGGGGGTGGGAATGGTTGTTTGCACCGAGGATTGCCTTGGATAGGCGGCCGTTGAAGCAAGTTTGGTTGTACTCGATCATAAAAGACAGGAACTCCCGAGCGAGAATCAAGCTCACGTTTCTACATGTGCCAAACTACCACTCTCTCTCTCTCTCTCTCTCTCTCTCTCT